GCTCCCCCCCCCCCACCCCCACCCTGCCGCAAGCATCCCTGCGTCCCGGCCGCGGCGTTTGACCCTGGAGAAGATGGAGAGCCCTCAACTTGACATTCCCCGCGCCCTGCCTCCCTTAAGGACATTGCGATAACTGCCCCCGGGGCTGTTTGCCTTTCTTATCGGGGACCCCGGGCAAACAAGGGTGGCTGGGATATAAGGAAGCCGGGCTGGGACCGGTGGCACACTCGAGGTTGTCTCTTCTCCTCGGTCGCTGGCTGTTAGCATCCACCATGAAGCTGCTCCTGCTCCTCACCTTGGTGGCCTTGGCCCAATGCGCGATGCACAGGTGAGCACCGGGGTCTCGGGGTGCCCACACAGCTACCGCCGTCCCGAGGACCCCCCAGCACCCACGCTGGGGAAGGCAAGCGGGGCGACGGCCCGGCTTCCAGCACGCAGCAGGGCTGGGGGGGGGGCACGACAACCTGCAGCCCCCTCACCACCCATTGCCATGGCCAAGGCTCCCCACAGGACCCCCAGGTCCCACACAAGGGGCTGTAGGATGGGGCAGAGGGTAGGGGTACCCGCAGGCTCCCCCTTCCCGGAGGCATGGCCCTGCCTGGCTCCTGGTGACGGATGGGGTCCCCTGTCCCCCAGGGTCCCTCTGAAGAAGATGAAGTCCCTGCGGCAGATCCTGAAGGAGCACGGCTTGCTGGAGCACTACCTGAAGGAGCACCCCTACAACCCGGCCGCCAAGTACTTCCCCACCACGGGCTCCGTCGAGCGCCTGCAGAACTACCTGGATGTGAGCATGGCGGGGCAGAGGGGCTGGCACCAGTGGGGCAGCCCACAGGGCCACTGGCCCCTTACCCATCCCCCTAGCCCCTTACCTGGCCTGTTAGCCCCTTACCCACTCCCCTAACCCATTACCCATCCTGCTAGCCCCTTACCTGACCTGCTAGTCCCTTACTTGACCCACTAGCCCCTTACATGACCCACTAGCCCCTCACCCATCCCACTAGCCTCTTACTTGACCCACTAGCCTCTTACCCATCCTGCTAGCCCCTTACCCATCCTGCTAGCCCCTTACCCATCCCGCTTTGACAGGACGAGTACTTCGGCACCATCTACATCGGTACCCCAGGCCAGCAGTTCACCGTTCTCTTTGACACCGGCTCCTCCAACCTGTGGGTGCCCTCGGTGTACTGCTCCAGCCCAGCCTGCAGTAGGTGTCCGGCAGCCCCTGGGTGATGGGTGAAGGCAGGGGAAGCCTCGGGCTTGGCCAGTGCCCTGCCCTGCCTGGTTCTGGGAACCCCTGGGAGGGCTGGGAGCCAAGGATGGCTCTGCCCTGTCTCTCCCGAGGGACATCGGGTGATGGAGCAGGCACCGGAGAGGGATTCTCGGTCCCCGAGGGCAGGACGTACCGTGACCATCTCTCTCCCATACCTGCAGGCAACCACAACCGCTTCAACCCATCGGACTCCTCCACCTTCGTCAGCACCAACGACAGCGTCGAGATCACCTACGGCACTGGCAGCATGACCGGCATCCTGGGCTACGACACCGTCTCCGTAAGGCGGGGTGCACCAGTCCCCCCCATCCCAGGGGAGCGAGGACACTGGGGCACAGCCCGCCCGAACCAAGCCCCTCTCCCTCTCCCCATCTCCCCATCCAGGTCGCAGGTCTCGATGTCACCAACCAGATCTTTGGGCTGTCTGAGACTGAGCCCGGTGATTTCTTCTACTACACCCCCTTCGATGGCATCCTGGGCCTGGCTTTCCCAAGCATCTCTTCCTCCGGAGCCACCCCCGTCTTTGACAACATGATGTCGGAAGGCCTCGTGGCCAAGGACCTCTTCTCCGTCTACCTGAGCAAGTAAGCCCTGACCAGAGCCGCCCAGCCTTTGCCGAGGATTTTCTCCCATTTCCCTCCCACCGGGGCTGGCTCCGGCACCGTTCCCAGGTGGTGTCGCACCCCGCGGCTCCTGGGGGAGATGGCTCCCCATTACCGGCATCAGCACCGGCGGAAAAGGCTGGCAGCAAAGCCCCCCTCAGCGATTGGCCTGCCGGTGGGTTGGGGGGGGGGGCGGTGAGACCCCCACCTGATGGCTCCCCCCCTTGCAGGAATGAGCAGAGCGGCAGCTTCGTCCTCTTCGGTGCCATTGACCCCCTCTACAGCGCCAACGGCATCACCTGGATCCCCCTCTCCGCTGAAACCTACTGGCAGATCACCATGGACAGGTAGTCCCGGCGCAGCCCCCGGGCTCGCTGGCTCCCCTTGCCCTCCAGCTGGCAT